ACACACACACACGCACACACAACACACACACACACACACACACACACACACACATATATATATATATATATATATATATATATATATATATATATATATATCATACCCGACACACCCAACACAAGCAACACACACAACGCACACACACACACACACACACATACACACACACAACGCAGCGGAAACACACAACACGCAGAACACACAGGATCCAGGCATAGCCCAACCTAAATCCACACACAACAAAACACGCACACACACAGCACACAACACACATAACGCACATACACACACACACACACACACACACACACACACACCTTACACATCACATACACACGCATCGTGCACATGTGTTTGTGTAAGCCTGGGCACGCATGCGCCATGTGTCTACATGGGCACCCACGCGCACACACACACATCTGTTTATACACAACTATGGCGCACCATGCAAACACAAACGTTATACGTGAGTTAATACATCCCCATGAAAATGTAAAACAAAACTGGCACAGGGATGGAAGCCAAAAACAAGCTGAATCAGACCAGGCGGGCCGGACGCATCAAACGACATCCGCATGTCAATGTCACGGAAAAACGTCTCGTCTGCATTGCGCGCTGCATGTCGACCATCTGACTGGTGGGAACGAAACCGCAAGGCAGAACGTGGAACCGCCTACGCAAGCGGCCCTGTGAAGGATGAACTTGGAAGAGCAGGGCATGAAGTGACGTTCGTCTCCCAATGTTGCCATTGGGCGCGCAAGCCAAAGTGTGGTTTTTTTCAATGACCTGGCCCATGGTTCGCGCGTGCGCACGCTGCGAACATTGATTATCCCAGTGCGACCCTACCTAGGAGTTGGAGCCCCTAGGAAAGCAGCATTAGTAGTAACAGTAAAGCTAAGCTGCAGCTAAGCTAAAGCTAAGCTAAAGCTAAGCTAAAGCTAAGCTAAAGCTAAGCTGAAGCTAAGCTGAAGCTAAGCTAAAGCTAAGCTAAAGCTAAGCTAAAGCTAAGCTGAAGCTAAGCTGAAGCTAAGCTAGAACTAAGCTAAAACTAAGCTAAAGCTATGCGAAAGCTGAGCTACAGCTGAACTACAGCTAAGCTACAGCTAAGCTAAAGCTAAGCTAAAGCTAAGCTAAAGCTAAAGCTAAAGCTAAAACTAACCTGAAGCTAAGCTAAAGCTAAGCTAAAGCTAAGCTAACGCTAAGCGAACGCTATGCTGAAGCTAAGCTAAAGCTAAGCCAACGCTGAACTAAAGCTAAGCTAAAGCTAGCTAAAGCTAAGCTACAGCGAAGCTGAAGCTAAGCTAAAGCTAAGCTGAAGCTAAGCTAAAGCTAAGCTAAAGCTCAGCTAAAGCTCAGCTAAAGCTAAGCTAAAGCTAAGCTGAAGCTAAGCTGAAGCTAAAGCTAAAACTAAAGCTGAAGCTAAAGCTAAAGCTAAAGCTCCCAAGGGACTGGGGGAACCGCGGGGCGGGGACTGGGGGAACCGCCCGGGCGGTGTGCACTGCCCGGCCCCTTTAAGCTAAGAGAGAAAGAACCCTTCTAGGCAGAGCCTAGGTGGGGAAAAAGCAAATGTCACTTAATAACCCTTTTTGGGAGCTGCAATCTGCTGATCATTCGCGATGATCGTCGGGTTGATTATGTTATAACTTGTTCCCGGCTGTGTGGATGTCGAACCTGTTCGGGCGTGTTCCAATCGTTCTAGCGGCAATTGCTCTGTAGCGTCGGCAACCTGTGCCGCTCGGGCAAATGGAATGGGAAGCGCGCGGCCCCTGATACATACAATCGTACCTGGACGGCTGCCGTTCGTGGCTTCCCTGGGAGGCTAGGGGGAAACGCGAGGGAAAAGAAAGAACATGAAGATGCGAAGGAAGAGGGAAACGAGGAGGGGAGAGGAGCAGGAAGATTAGAAGGAAGTGGCGACTGAGGATGCTGATGATGTTCCGGCGGAGGAGCGAGAGCTAAGCAGTGGCTGGCGATGTGGCGAGAACGCATGTCGTCTTCGTCGTGGTCGTCGTGGTCGCCGTGGTCGCCGTCGTCGCCGTGGTCGTCGTCGTCGTCGTCGCCCGCCGCTCCTGGCAACAACGGCTGCGTTCTGGGCCTGGGGCCCAGGGCCCGCCCGTCGCTGTCGGACGCAACTCCCTATGGAGCGGGCTCACTGTGAAAATCCGCTCGCGGCGGCAAACTGTTCATGTCTGGCGAAACGACTTAACGATTGGACGCGGGGGGGCTCGGGCTCACTGTGTCAACTCATATACGGGACGCACATTCCGTTGCCCCGGGGCCCAACTTAACGATCAGGACGTGGCAGGCTTAGTTGTGTAGAATCAACCACGGGACGCAATTCGCGTAAAAGGGCGTGCCCCGGCGTGCCCACTTTACGATCCGTTTTTTTTTTCCGCGTTTCGTGCATGAATAAATAAGACGGGAAGCATCCATCGTAAAGTGGACGCTTCCAGTCCTATTTTCTCAACCCACCAACCGCGGAAAAAAACAAATCGTAAAGTGGGCACGCCGGGGCACGCCACTTTACGCGAAGTGCGTTCTCTGTATGAATTTACACACATTCAACCCGCACCCGCCCGATCGTTCAGTGGGATTGCCGGGCAACCTAAACTGCACCCCGTATGTGAATTTACAAAATAGAACCCGCCCCCCGCCGGATCGTCAACACGATTTGTTGGACAACGCCTCACAGGTCCCACTGGACTCGTGAATCCCACAGGCCCCCCAGGCCTCACAGGTCGCACAACTCTCACAGGCCCCACTGGTTTCGCAGGTCCCACAAGTATCGCATGTCCCACGAGTCCCACAAGTCCCACAAGTGCCACAGGTCGCACAAGCCCCACGAGTCTCAGAAGCCCTACAGGTCCGGCAAGGCCCGCAACGCTCTCGCAAGGTCTAACAAGGCCGACATTTTGCACAGGTCCCACAAGTCTTACAAGCCGCACAGCTCCCACACGTCTCACAGGTCGCACAGGTCGCACAGGTCCCGCAAAACCCACCGATCCCGCAAGTCGCCCAGGCCCCACAGGGTCTCAAGTCTCACACGTCCCACAGGACCCACAGGGCGGCACGCTAAAAGACGAGAGGGAATCGCGCGGAAACCCAACACTTAGACAGAATTACCCATCCCCGTGGAAAAGGTGTATAGCAAAAGTGGCACAGGGATGGAAGCCAAAAACATGTTGAATCAGACCAGGCTTGGCCGGTTGCATCAAGCGACATCCGCCTGTCACTGTTACGGAAAAACGTCTCGTGTGCATTGCGCGCTGCATGTCGACTATCCGACAGGTGGGAACGAAACCACAAGGCAGAACGTGGAACCGCCCACGGCAGCGGCCCTGTGAAGGATGAACTTGGAAGAGCCGAGCATTAAGTGGCGTTCGCCTCCCAGTGTTGACACTGGGCGCGCAAGCCAAAGTGTGGCATTTCAATGACCTGGCCCATGGTGCGCGCCTGCGCACGCTGCGAACATCGAAAGGCGAATATCGCTTAATGATCCTCTTTGGGCGTCGCAGTCTGCTGATCATTCGCGATGATCGTCGTGCTGATTTGTTATAAGTTTCCCCGGCGGTGCACGTGTACGCAGAGAGGCCTACACATGTGCATGCATACATGTGATTGTGTAAACTAACGCGTCCACAAACATGTATAAACCTATACATATGTATCGTAGATTCGATGTGAAGGTAAACGCAGATGTGAACGACGACTGCTGCTGATGATGAATGTGAACGCTGATGCGATCCTTGTACAAGATCACATGCATAGGCGCACACAGGCACGTAGAAACAGACGCATGCGTAGCTTACAACGGAGACGGAAACCAGGCCCAGACCCTGCCGTTGGTGAAGGCATAGACTCAGCCGTAGATGATCCTAAGCATGTGTATGTAGATAGGGATGTCTGTACACATGTACACGTACTTGCACGTACGTGGTAATCTGTAGAGGCACAGTAAATGCCTCCGCATGCGCTGGCGCAGGGGAAAATGCAATCCCTGTAGTTAATTGTAGTGGTGGAGGCATCAGCATAATCGCAGGCATGGGGGGGGTAGAAGTGGTTGGTGTAGGCGCAGGGTAGGTGGCTCAGGTGTAGATGATGCAGGTGGAGTATACGGGGGGGTCTCGGTATAGGAGATGAGATGGATGTAGATAGTGCGGGTGGCGCAGAAGGTGCGAAATGGTTGGCTGGTGTACGCTGCACGGGGTGGTGTGGTTGACGAATGTGATGTGGGCAGTGTAGGAGGTGTGTGTGTAAAAAAAGAAAAAATAGTAGATGATGCAGGTGGCGTAAGCGGTGCAAGCGGCGTAGACGGTGTAGGTGGAGCAGGTGGCACAGGTGGCGCAAGCATTGTAGGTGTTGTAGGCAAAGCAGGGGTAAACGGTGTAGGCGGTGTCATTGTAAGTGTAGGTGGCCTAGATGTCACGTGTGTGGAATAATTGGTGGTGTGGGTCGATTCGGCGGCGTAGGCGGTGTATGGCATACGTGCTCTAGGTAAAGGTGGTATGGATTCGTTAGGTCGCGTTGGTGGTGATGGTGATGTAGGTGGCGCACGTGGTGTAGTAGTTGTAGGTTGTGCCATGGTGCAGGTGGCGTAGATGGTACAGGTCGCACATGTGGTGCAAGTCGCACAGGTGGTGTGCGTAGGTGGTACAAGTGGTATAGGTGATGTACGGCGTGTAGGTGACGTAGGTGTTGTAGGATCATACGCATGGAAATGATTATGTGTTGTGTCTCGCTCTTGCGATGCAGGGCTCGCTTCCTGCATGGCGGAGTCTGTGCAGTCGGGCGACTTGTGCAAGGAAAAAGGCAGAGCATTTAAGAATCATGGCTAGCATGCAGGTGACAATAGGGGAAGGCCTGGAGAGAGGGAAGATGTCGCACAGGGTAGCGGAGACGGATGGAACACCACGTGCGTCTAACAGCCAGACGCCGAATTCGCTGCCGAGGCACTCGAGCTGAGGCTGCGGGAGCCGCAGCTCGCAGCGGCCCAGGGCTCACTTGCCGCCAGGTCTTGCTATGATGGGGCGACCGCCACCCACAAGGGACTGCTTGAGGGACTTCGGGTTGGCCCACTGCGAGTCCAAGTACGAGTCGTCATCGTCGGTCTCCAATTTCTTGTTCTCCTCTTGCTTCTTGTAATAATGTGCCATCATTGCCTTGTGCGTGTTCTCGTCAATGCGCGGCTCACGCACAGGCGCGCCAGCAGTCTTGGGCGCCAGCTTGGCGACGATCTTCGTCTTCTCGTTCCGGCCCACGTATTCCTCCAAAACTTTGTCGGGCATCAGCTGCTTGCCCGCCCACCAGAGGTTCGTCTGCGTGTGGTCCAATACCTGCTGCAGCTCGGACTGCCCGTCCAGCTCCTCGTTGTCCTCCAGCTCCAGTCGCGTGGGGTCGTAAACGGGCAGCCTGTGAAAGGCGGGGTATGCGATCATCACGGCTCCGCGCAGGTTGTCCAGATACGTCTGGCAGGTCTTCTTGTCTAAGCACCGCCTCTGCCCGACCAGCTCGACCGAGACGCCAGCCTCGGCCTCCTCGGCAGTCCTGCTCATCACCTCGGCCACCTCGGGCGGCGGAGGCACGCCAGTGCGGAAGCCGTGCTCGTCCGGGTTGGTGGGCGCCCCGTAGGCGTTCACATCGAGCTCGGATACCTTGCTGAGGTCGTCGGAGATGCCCCGCGTCTCCTCTGGGCGGATCGGCCCGTGCTTTGCCAGCTCCTTGCACGTCGCCGCCACTCGCAGCACCTTCAGGCGCAGGTTGTGCACCTCGCAGAGCTCCTGCAGCAGCTCAGAGACACCCACCTTGACCGTCGTCTCGTAGAGGAACTCGTTCTTCTTCTCCGAACGCTTGACGTCCAGGATCACCATGGCCAGTGCGCGCTGTTGGCCCTTCGCTCCAGCTCCAGCCCTGCGCCTAAGCAGCCAAAAGAAACGTCCTTGAGCCGAAAATGGCTACGGACGCACGTGCAACTCTCATTGCAAATGACTGGAATCGAGGCGCTGGTGTGCGCATACTTTCTTGCGCGCGCGTATGTGTGCATTCTCTCTCCATCCTCTTTTTCTCTCTATCTCTCTCTCTCTCTCTTTCTCTCTCTCTCTCTCTCCCCGCTCCCATATCTATATCGATATCGACACATCGACTGAAAGTCCGATTGGCAGTGCCGAGTAGCATTGGTTCTGTACGTGCACGAACGAAAGAAAGGCAGAGGACAAGAGCCGACCAAAGATGTCCTTGTAGAACGTCTCAAGCACATTGTACGCGTCCTGCACTGTCTCAGCAGCCATCTTGTCGTCAGCCTTGTCGGCCTCGTACGCCTGCAAGTCTTCAAAAGCATGGCTGATGTCAAAGAAACCCAGCTGGGACATGTCTGGCTAAAACTAGCTCATTGAGGAGATCGTCGCGAACTTCGACTGATTCGTCGTGGGGTTCGTCTGGTTCGAGTGATGTCGCAAGCGGGGGCTCATGACGTCTTGAACACAGCCGCATCAGCATGTTTGTCAAGCGTACGGCAGCTTAGAAATGACCTTGGCTAACTGGGTAAAGACGCCTCCGGGGCTTTGAAATGCACGCGCCGAACGAGGGGCTAAGCAGGGTTCCCAGCTGAAGCCAGCATAGTGTACATGATGATATGAGCCTGGCGTGACTTGAAGTTGGGCCCTCGCTTGAGACCCCCTCCACTTCTACCACCAAACGATGAAACGTGTGCAACGCTTATGTGAACAAAAACGGCTCTTCTTAGAACCGGAATTGTCGCTGCGTAGGTTCGCAAGTCCTGTGTAAAAACAATAAATGAAATGCACCAGCTATAAAATTAAAGTCACCTCCTTTTCACCAAGGGCTCGCATTGGACACTTCCTTGCACCTTCTAACCGATCCCTTCGCTGTTCTTACAGCTGAAAAGGGGAGGGATGGTGGACGATAATGAAAATCGTGCCCCCGCCTGAATGCCAGCCAGGCCCATGGTGGGGCGCTCGCCTTTCCAGGGGGCGCTCTCCGTAGCGCACAGGAATGGTTGAAAAAAACTCCTGGGGCGGGAACTTGAGACATGACGGTGCATTGCAGCATCGTTCGTGCATCCTGGGCTTATTACGGATGTCCTGGCCATCATCCGCCTGTCCTCTCTTCTCCAACCCTCTTTCCCCTGCACATCCTGACTCTTCCTCCCCATGCATTACCTTATCTTGACTCCTCCTCATCCTCCTCCTCACCCGATTTCCTCTCCTCTTCCCTCCTCCCCTTCTCTCCCCTCCTCATCCCTGCTCCTGCTCCTCCTCCTCCTCTTCCTCCTCATCCTCCTCCTGCTCCTCTCCCTCCTCCTCCTCCTCATCCTCCTCGTCCTCCCCCTCCTTGTGTTGTGTGTGTAGTGTTGTGTGTTGTGTGTGGTGCGTTAGGTGTTGTGTGGTGTGTGTTGTGTGTTGTGTGTCGTGTGCTGTGTGTTGTGTGTTGTGTGTTGTGTGTTTTGAGCTGTGTGTTGTGTGGTGAGTGTTGTATTTTGTGTGTTGTGTGGTGTGTGTGTGTTGTGTGATGTGTGTTGTGTGTTGTGTGATGTGTGTTATGTGACGTGTGCTGTGTGGTGTGAGGTTGTGTGTCGTGTGTTGCGTGTTGTGTGTTGTGTGGTATGTGCTGTGGGTTGTGTGCTGTGTGTTACGTTTCATGTGTATTGTGCTGTGTGTTGTGTGCTGTATGGTGTGTGTTGTGTGGTGTGTGGTGTGTGGTGAGTGGTGTGTGTTGTGTGTCGTGTGTTGTGTTGTGTGTTGTGTGATGTGTGGTGTGTGCCGTGTGTCGTGTGGTGTGTGTTGTGTGGTGGGCGTTGTGTGTTGTGTTTCGTGTGTTGTGTTGTGGTGTGGGTTGTGTGTTGTGTGTTGTTGTGGGCTGTGTGTTGTGTGTTGTGTGGTGTGTGGTTTGTGCTGTGGGTTGTGTGTTGTGGGTTGTGTGTTGTGGCTGGTGTGTTGTGTGTTGTGTGTTGTGGCTGGTGTGTTGTGTGGTGTGGTGTGTGTTGTCTGTTGAGTGGTGTGTGTTGTGTCTTGTGTGTCGTGTGCTGTGTGATGTGTGTTGTGCAGTGTGTGGTGTGTGGTGTGTGTGTTGTGTGTTGTGTGTTGTGTGTTGTATGATGTGTGGTGCGTGTCATGTGTAGTGTGCTGTGTGTTGTGTGTTGCGTGGTGTGTGTTGTGTGGTGTGTGTGGTGTATGTGCTGTGTGTTGTGTGTTGTGTTGTGTGTTGTGTGTTATGTGTTATGTGTTGTGTGTTGTGTGATGTGTGTTGCGTGTTGTGTGTTGAAGTGTGTGTATTGTGTGGTGTGTGTAATGTGTTGTGTGGTGTGTGTGTTGTGTGTTGTGTGTTGTATGTTGTGTGACGTGATATGTGTGGTGGGAGGTTGTGTGTTGTGTGTTGTGTGGTGTGTGTTGCGTGTTGTGTGTTGTGTGTGTCGTGTGTTGTGTGTTGTGTGGTGCGTGGGTTGTGTGTTGTGTGTTGTGTGCGGTGTGTGTTGTATGTTGTGTGGTGTGTGTTGTTATGTGTGTGTGGTGTGTATGTGTGTGTTGTGTGTTGTGTGTTGTGTGTTGTGTGTGCGTGCGTGCGTGCGTGCATGCGTGTGCGTGCGTGCGTGCGTATATGGTGAGTGGTGTGTGTACGTATGTACGTGTGTGTATGTGTGTGCGCATGTGTGTGTGAGCGCGCGTGTGCGTGTGTGAGTGCATGCGTGCGTGCGTGAGCGAGTGCGCGTGCGCGTGTGCGTGTGGGTGTGCGTGTGCATGTGCGTGTGCGCGTGCGTGTGCGAGTGCGAGCGCGAGTGCGTGTGCGAATGCGAGTGCAAGTGCGAGTGCGAGTGCGTGTGTGTATGCGCGTGCGCGCGTGCGTGTGTGAGTGTGTGCGCGTGTGTGTGTGTGTGTGCGTGTGCGTGTGCGTGTGTGCGTGCGCGTGTGCGTGCGCGCGTGCGTGAACGTGTGCATGTGCGTGTGCGCATGCGTGTGCGTGTGCGTGTGCGTGTGCGCGTGTGTGCGTGAGTATGCGTGTGCGTGTGAAGGTGCGTGCGCGTTCGCGTGTGCGTGTGCGTGTGGTGTGCGTGTGCGTGCGCATGTACGTGAGCGTGCGCGTGCGCGTGTGCGTGTGCGGATGCGTGTGCGTGTGCGTGCGCGATTTCGTGTGCGTGTGCGTGTGCGTGTGCGTGTGCGTGTGCGTGTGCGCGTGCGTGCACGTGCGCGTGCGCCTGTGCGTGTGCGTGTGCGTGCCCGTGTGCCTGTGCGGTTTGCGTGTGCGTGTGCGCGTGCGTGTGCGCCTGCGTCCACGTGCGCGTGCGCGTGAGCGTGCGCCCGCGTGAGTGTGGCTGTGTGCGTCCGCGTGCGCGCGTGCGCGCGTGCACGCGTGCGCGCGTGCGCGCGTGTGCGCGTGCGCGCGTGTGCGCGTGTGCGTGTGCGCGCGCGTGAACGTTTTGCGCGTGTGCGCGTGTGCGCGTGCGCGCGTGTACGGGTGATGCGCGTGCGCGTGTGATGCGCGTGTGCGGGTGTGAGCGTGTGCGCGCGTGCGCGTGTGCCCGTGATGCGCGTGTGCGCGCGTGCGCGCGATGCGCGTGTGCGCGTGTGTGCGTGTGTGCGTGCGTGCGTGTGCGCGTGTGTGCGTGTACGCGTATGCGCGGGTGCGCGTATGCGCGGGTGTGCGTATGTGCGGGTGCGCGTGTGCGCGTGTGAGCGTGATGCGCGTGTGCGCGTGTGCGCGTGCGCGCGTGTGCGGGTGATGCGCATGTGCGCGTGATGCGCGCGTGCGCGTGTGAGCGTGTGCGCGCGTGCGCGTGTGCCCGTGATGCGCGTGTGCGCGTGCGCGCGTGGTGCGCGTGTGCGCGTGTGCGCGTGTGCGCGTGTGCGCGTGTGCGCGTGTGCGCGTGTGCGCTTGTGCGCGTGTGCGCGTGTGTGCGTGTGTGCGTGTGTGCGTGTGTGCGTGTGTGCGTGCGTGCGTGCTCGCGTGCGTGTGTGCGTCTGTGCCTGTGCGTGTGTGCGTGTGTGTGGTTGTGTGTCTGGTTGCGTGTGTGTTTGCGTGTGTGTGCGTGGGTGTGTGGGTGTGGGTGTGCTTGTGTGTACGTGTGTGTGTGTGGTGGGTGCGTGCGTGCGTGCGTGCGCGCGTGCGTGCGTGCGTGCGCGCGCGGATGTGTGTGCGTGCGTGCGTGCGTGCGTGCGTTTGCGTCTCAGTGGGTGCGTGCGTGCGTGCGTGCGTGTGTGCGTGAGTGCGTACGTGCATGCGTGTGTGCGTGCGTGCGTGCGTGGGTGTGTATGCGTGCGTGCGTGCGTGCGCGTGTGTGTATGTGTGCGTGCGCACGTGCGTGCGTGCGCGTCTGTGTGTGCGTGTGTTTTGTGTGGGTGTGTATGCGTATGTGTGATTGTGTGGGTGTGTGTATGTGTACATGTGTATGTGTGTATGGGTATGTGTGTCTGTGGGTACGTACATGTGCATGTGTCTATGTGTGTATGTGCGTGTGTGTATGATGTCATGACTGCATGGTTGTATACTTCCATGTGTGTATGTATGTGTGTGTGGATGTGGGTGCGTGTGCGCGTGAATGTGTGCGTGGTGTGTGAATGTGTGGGCGTGTGTCTGTGTCTGTGGCTGTATTTGTGTCTGTGTCACTGTCGGTGTCTGAGTCTGTGTGTGCGATTGTGTTTGTCTGTGTTTGCGTGTTTGTGTTTATGGTTGTGGTTGTGTTTGTGTGTAGTTGCACTTGTGTTTGTGTGGATGTGGTTGTGTTTTTGCGTTTGTGTGTGTGCGTGTGCGTGCATGCGTGTGTGCGTGCGTGCGTGTGTGCGTGTGTGCGTGCGTGCGTGAGTGTGCGAGTGGGTGCATGAGTGTGTTTGTGTGTGCATTAGTTTGTGCATGTGTTTGC